TATAGGCTACAACTAGCTGAAGTTTGCTGTGCTTTATCCTAACATTACACAAAGAATGCCTGCAATCATTCAGTCAGGGACGACTGCACAAAACGTGCACTGTTAACTAATAAAAACATTATAAACTGTTACGAAATGATAAACAAATGTAGTTTGTGCAACACTGTAAATATATTTACCTTTAAAAAAAAAATTAAAAAATCCATTAAACTTACTGAGATACAAGGAGCGTGAACTGAAATTCAGTGTTCCACGCGCATGTCCGGGAAACTCATGAATATTCATGTCTGCCCCGCCCACTGAAACCGAAATTCTCGCAACACCAGCAATTCCTCCATTGCAGGTGCTTTGCTGTTCGCCGTGTACGTATTAAAACAAAGACTGTCTTCGGAAACCAATGGGTAAAATCTTTGCTTCTTATGCCTGTAGCCATTTATTTACCCGGAGTACTTTATAACCTCTTCGACATTGAAATATCGTTGACATGGGACGCCGACGCATTCATTTATTCAGACGTTAACGTGCTTCTGGAAACGAGTTTCATAGAAACTCAATGTCACTGATTTCTTTGGTAATTGACTAAATGTCACTGATTCATTTCTAGAGATAAAGGGACATCAAAACCACTGTTGGACAATGATGTAAGTATATTCCTTTGTCTAAATCTAAGTAGGAATGTATATAAATATATAATTTTCGTCTAAAATTAGCATTTTTATCAGCATTATAATTTTATGCAATGTATAGGTCTAATGGCAATGTATAGGTGTTTTTCTATGCAATTAAAGTGACATAACTGAACATAAATATAGTAGCCTGATAAAAATGCCAATTTTAAAAGAATATTTCAGACGGCACTTAAGAGACTTTTGCATCTGAACTCTAACGTACATATACAACACGTTCTCACTCCCAACTCGTCACATATGGACGCTTGGTCAGGGTCCCTTGGCGTCATTTTTAACGCACTGGGTACCCCTTTGGCGTCATTTTTCAACGTGCAGGGAATCCCACAGACTTCTGACCGGAGCCCGCTGCGTTGAAATTTGACGTCAGCGTCAACGCCTCTCGTTTACTTTGAATGGAGTGACGACAAGCGTTGGCGAAATGAATTGTGGGTCCGTCGCGTCGCGTTGGGTCCGTTGCTCGCGGCAGAAGTTGAAAACGTGGGCTTGTTTGAGATGAGCAAATTCTGCGCAGAATCGATCACCGCGAGATGCATGCCGGTTAGAAAAGTGTCCGACTTACCTCCGACTTGCTCTGATGATGTTTCTGGCTACATTTAAAATCAAAACATATTGATCATTTAATTGTTGTAATGTTAAAATGTTTCCAACTTCCAAATAGGTGTCCGATGATTGATAAATAAATATGTGATTGCTGAATATTGTACCCTAATGGAAGTAGCTGTTTAGTAGGATCATGATTTTGCATACCATTGCATGAATGACTGCCTGACACAAATTATATTATTATAATTTATGATTAACATTCAAATTATTAATTAGTTAGAAATTAGTTGCTATGAAAACAGGTGCCATCGGTTGTCATTGAGTCAGTGTTGCTGATGCAAAGTAGGCAAACACCAAGCAACTAAATTAAGATACAATTATGAGCCATTCTCAGACTCTTAAACATTAAACTGTTGATTACTTTAAAACTAACCTTCATCTGGGAGATCACAGGGATATGTGAATATTTGATCTGTTAACTGGTCAGATTTATTGCATGTCAGTGCAATGGTGAAGGGATAGATCAAACAGGCCAATTGATGGAAGGTTTGCGAAGAAATGTCATGCTCCCTTGTTTTAGTATTTTTAAAATACAAAAATACAGTAGTTTATTTTGATACATGGTGTGGCTGCTGTATTTTGTAGTTTATTTTGATACACTTAAAATTAAGGTATTTGGTATTTTATTTTCAAGTACATTTTGATGTATCTTTGCCCAACCCTGTTAGTAAGTACCTGACAGCCGGTGTTACGAGATTTTCGGTTTCCAAGATGTTCGGTTTCAGTGGGCGGCGCAGACATGAATATTCATGAGTTTCCTGGACATGCCGTGGAATCAGGTGGAACTGAGAATTTCAGATCACGCTCATTGTATCTCAGTAGGTTTAATGGAATATTTTTAAAAAAAGGTAAATATATTTACAGCGTTGCACAAACCTTTGCCTAAACTACATTTGTTCATCATTTTGTAACAGTTTATAATATTTTTATTAGTTTGCACGTTTTGTGCATTCGTCATGACTGAATGATTGCAGACATTCAGCACACTTAAGCTAGTTGTAACTTACTTTGATTTCAGTTCGTTGTGCTGTAGCTTGCAATGCTTTCAAACAGTGTCTGTTGTTAGTTGTTATCATTTGAGTACAACAGCTGAAATAAACTTGTATTTGTGGATCGTTTTTCATCTATCCTGGTGTGATTGTTCTTTTCTTGTTCTGCGATTGTTAGGCTTAGGTTATATTTACAAAATGAATAGGAATTTAATACCACACACACACACAAGCATGAAAGTGTTCCTTTAATAAGTACAATTTTGGATTAAACTAAACTGTATGGACAAAAGTTTAAAATGTAGCCTACATTTGGTACACTGTAAACGAGAAAACGAATACTTCACTGCATTTTATGGAATGGAATAAGAAACTAATTTCATGTTTAAAAAAAATTATTAACAAATGTTCATAAGTGTGCTTGTGCTTGTTTTGATGATATATAGGCTACAATACTGTTCTAAGGGTTTGTATTAGTAAGGTTCTTTGTTCATGTTCACCAACTGCATCAGATTAAAAATATTAAAAAAACATTAATATTGTGAAATAATTTTACAATTTAAAATAAAGGTTTTTTCCCCCTGTGATGTCAGATCTCAACTTTTCTTCAGTGTCTCATGACCCTTCGGAGATCATTCTAATATGCTGATCAGTGTAGGTTGCAAAATGTTTATTAGGCCACTGATATGGTGGTGAATGTTATTTCTTTCATTGCCAGAATATGACCGTTTTAAAACTTAAAAGGTAACAGAAGAGCATAAACATAAATAATTGAAATAGTTGGATCTGCGCTACTATTGGAAACCTGTGTAGCTGTAATCATCCAGGTTTTCTGGGATTTTTGGTTTCACTGTGTAAATGGAACCTTAAACCTTGTGATAATCTTACTTGGTAAATGTACATTTGTTTGTAAAAATGTTTAACTATTTTACATTGGAAACATGGAGAAAAAAAAAAGATGAAATTTCAGCAACATGTTTTTGCAGCCGTGTATGATTGTCTCATAGTTTACAACCAGACTGCAGACAATTCACAACCAGACAACATGGAGAATGTTGAACGGGGTAAGTTAATACATGGATCATCATACCAGTATACAAAAAAAATATATGTGCACAGATACGTTTATATAGGTTTATTTCATTTGTTGCAGGCAGTGATGTATTCAACAAATGATAACAACTAATAACAGACACAGTTTTAAAGCATCGCAAGCTACAAATGAATAGCACAAAGAACTGAAATCAATGTATAGGCTACAACTAGCTGAAGTTTGCTGTGCTTTATCCTAACATTACACAAAGAATGCCTGCAATCATTCAGTCAGGGACGACTGCACAAAACGTGCACTGTTAACTAATAAAAACATTATAAACTGTTACGAAATGATAAACAAATGTAGTTTGTGCAACACTGTAAATATATTTACCTTTAAAAAAAAAATTAAAAAATCCATTAAACTTACTGAGATACAAGGAGCGTGAACTGAAATTCAGTGTTCCACGCGCATGTCCGGGAAACTCATGAATATTCATGTCTGCCCCGCCCACTGAAACCGAAATTCTCGCAACACCAGCAATTCCTCCATTGCAGGTGCTTTGCTGTTCGCCGTGTACGTATTAAAACAAAGACTGTCTTCGGAAACCAATGGGTAAAATCTTTGCTTCTTATGCCTGTAGCCATTTATTTACCCGGAGTACTTTATAACCTCTTCGACATTGAAATATCGTTGACATGGGACGCCGACGCATTCATTTATTCAGACGTTAACGTGCTTCTGGAAACGAGTTTCATAGAAACTCAATGTCACTGATTTCTTTGGTAATTGACTAAATGTCACTGATTCATTTCTAGAGATAAAGGGACATCAAAACCACTGTTGGACAATGATGTAAGTATATTCCTTTGTCTAAATCTAAGTAGGAATGTATATAAATATATAATTTTCGTCTAAAATTAGCATTTTTATCAGCATTATAATTTTATGCAATGTATAGGTCTAATGGCAATGTATAGGTGTTTTTCTATGCAATTAAAGTGACATAACTGAACATAAATATAGTAGCCTGATAAAAATGCCAATTTTAAAAGAATATTTCAGACGGCACTTAAGAGACTTTTGCATCTGAACTCTAACGTACATATACAACACGTTCTCACTCCCAACTCGTCACATATGGACGCTTGGTCAGGGTCCCTTGGCGTCATTTTTAACGCACTGGGTACCCCTTTGGCGTCATTTTTCAACGTGCAGTTTTTATTCAGTAGCCAAATTGGCTGATGAGTGAAAAAGTAAATTTCAATCCCTGTGTATATATATATAAAAGTGTTGTTTTTAAATATTCAATACTATTTTAACAGAGTGTTTTCTGCAAGATCTCCAGCACTCACTGAGCGATACCTCAGATGATGAGGCATCACCTCTAGGAACCTCAAGAGATCCTCCTAGCGTCCTCGAACTGGAGTACACGACAAAGTCTCTTTTCAGAGAGGTGGAGGGCAGAGAGACCCTGTCTGGTGAACACCGCTGCGGCACAAGACAATGTGGCAACACACATCTGCCAACAGTGTGGGAGCAATCCAGCTGCTGTCCGGTGTTGTGACTGTCAACCACGCCCCTTCTTCTGTGCTGAATGTGACGTCAGCATGCACACCAGACATGTTCTCCATAACCGAGATGCCATGACTGCTGGATTCTACCAGCCACTGCCTCCAACAACTTTTGTTGTAGATAAGGCTCGTTCCCATTGTGGTAAGTTCTGGTTTGTGACTGTACAACATAAATATCATTCTAAAAAATCGTTAGGCCTCATAAGCTTTACTATTTAATTAAATAATGCCTTTTTGTCTCTTATTGTTTGATATTTTATTTATGTCTCATAAGCTTTACTATTTAATTAAATAATGCCTTTTTGTCTCTTATTGTTTGATATTTAATTTATGTGGACACTCCGTGTCAGTCAGCTTTTTGAGCATCTCTTGTATACTTTTTCAGCAATGTACTTCATTACCATTGAACCATTACAATGTTATACTACTCCGTCAATACAAATTATCTTAATTCACATGTTTGATCTTTTTCAGTGCGGCTTGTACCTGTGGAGATTCCTGACAAAATTTGTGGTTGTTCACCAGAGTCATTGAGGGTCAGCCCAGGGAAGACTATTGCTGTGATCACAATGAATGGTAAGGGTGTGAAGATAAAAATCTATACATGCTCTACTCCCATAAGTTTGGCACAGGTCTGTTTGTAAAATCTACACATGACTTTTGAGTAATGTTTAAAAAGTATACAAAGTAGTGTAAAAATTGTTTAAAGAATCCAAACCCTGATTAATCACATAAGGTTTACATTAAAGTGGATATGTTTTTGATTTTTCCAGGATGATATGATCTAAGCATGCCTGAGTTGAGATGTGAGGCATGCCAAGCCACTTGGGCTGCTGGAGTGGTCGACCTAAATCGAAGTGACTACTGGCCTGCGACCCTTCACTTTGCCACAATTTATGCCACAGATGTCTTTTTTTCATTCGAAGAAATGAAGATGGCAGCACCAGGACTGTCCTGCCAAGCATTTTTAAGAATTAAAAAATTAAGAACTGTCCGCTTTGGTTGTGTGAGTATTGAATTTATTTATCCTACAGTATTGTTAATCTCTTTGTATTGTGGGTTGAAAAGCTGTTTGATGCTAATGTATTTGTTGTACGTTATTAGCTGTTGGTTTCCTTCATTTTAATAGACTGGCAAGATCTCCACAGACAGTTTTCAGAAAAGTTTTTTTGAGTGGGAGGCTGTGCTATATGAGGTGGACAAAATCTGCAAGGAAGAGCCCTTCATCTGTCCTGCGTGCACCCCAGTTATGCTGGCAGTTTCAGTAGATGGAAACTGCAAGCATTACCGTTTCAAGAATGCAGCTAGGTATTCCAAACTGTGTATAATGTCACACTGTTGAAACAATATTAATAAGAAAAAAATCTCTTTAATGTGCACCAAGTAAAATTAGATTACAAGGTATCATAAACTTTTGTGTACCTGTTCTGTACATGTTTTTGTTTTTTGTTTGTTTTTTAGATCTGAGGAACAGGCCATCTTTGAAGACGTCTTTATAGCTAAGGATGAAGATGTGACCAGATTTGTGGACTACATTCACAAGACATCCAAACATGTAAAATCGCAGATGATTAGACTATATATAGGACTACAATTACCTCCTACTGAAGAGTTTGTTTAGGAGAGTCTTATTTTCATCAACCATTTTCCATATTATAGGTCAGTGGAAGAGGTGTTTGTGGAGGGGAGTGGTCAGCAGCCAGAGAGACCTCCCAAAGATCTGCCAGCAAGGTAGACGAGGAGGGATTGGAGCTTGCGGTGTGTCGGCACGGAGTGCTGCTCTGTGCTTTAAATATGTACAGGGGGGAAAATTTTGCCTATCCCCTGTACCTGCAAGAAAAGTTGGCCAGTAGGCAAATCACTTTTTTTGTATGGATGTGACCTGCAAATATTGGCCCTACCTCCAAAGAGTTGCAAAAAGCTGCCCAGAGCTCCAGCACCTTCTTAACATGAAGCCCTTCCTTTCGGTATTCCATGCCAAAGCACATGATTTTAAATGCGAGGTAGGTGAACTTTGCTATGTGATTATGAAAACTGAACATCTGCAAATGAATGTCAAAACTTTCTCAGCATTATTATTATTATTATTTTATTTTTTTTTCCTAATCAGGTGAAATGGAGTGGGGCATATCAGGATGGGGCTGGTTTAACACTAGGGGAGGAGGTGGAACAGTGCCATGCTTTCCTCTCTAGGATTGCAGTGACCACAAAACACATGTCCAAAGCAGGTAAAATGACCACATACTGCACTACTTGCATCATTACATAATAAGTAGGGGGAATATGGTAACATGATATTTTCTGTGTTTGCAGGACGCACAGACATGCTGACTCTCATGGCCATGCGCTGGAATCAGCAAAAGTTCAATAATTTGGCCACCGCACTGACCCGGCGAAATCAGAAGGTGCGTGTGAACGGGTTGAAATGCAATATCAGAAGGTAATGACATCAGTAGAATTAGTTTTAGATGTTCAGTAATGTATGTTATTAGTGTTTGAAGCTGTGAATTGAACATTTGGTTCTTGTTTTTGTTCTATCTGTGATTGCTTGTCATTGCAGACCACAAAAGCTCTGCAAAGCCAGTTGCAAAACCTAGAGTCCATGAAAGTCGAACTTGCAGTGACAGAGAGCCAATTGGAAGACTGGGTCAATGATGTAAAGGAGTGGGCAGACGGTGAGGAAATGACTAATATATACTGTATATATATATATATATATATATATAGTTATTGTAATTTTGTCCCACCTATTTCTTCTCAGCAACAACAACAACCACAAATGATGTTGCCTTGGCCAGCAGAATTGAGGTGCTGGTGGCGAGTATCAAGAGACATTCCCAGCGTCTCTATAAAGATACAGATGGCAACAAAGGTCATGCCAGGATCTGCCGCAAGATCAGGGAGGAGAAGGAGATCCTGACATCAGTTGTAGAGAAATACAACAAAATGGTTCCAAACACAGAAACTCTGTGCTTGGAAACCATTTTGTCTGGTGAGACAGCTTGGCTATGGCAGCTACCACACAGTGGTATGTACACTAGTCTTCTGACAATTCTTATACATAATTGACATTACCCACAATGCCTCAAATGTCAATCTGCAGCCCCAAATGATTTTAAATATTCTTTGAAGGTTGATGCATGACGTAAGTTTTTCCTCATGCATTCAGACTCTGTCGAACTAAGGACAAAGAGAAAGGCATTCGACATCATCATGTCAGTAAGGAGACTTCAGGAGGAGCAGAAGATTCTTGTTACAGAGATGGACAACCATTGGAAATATCTTTCAACTCGTGCTGAGACCCTCAGAGAACTGTCCTGCTTGTTTGCCAGTGAGACACTGAAAAGTATGTATTTGTAATATATGGCACAAACATAAGCATAGGGTTGCCCCTGACCAAAGATTGTCCTGGAAAATGGGTTTATTTTATTGTACCACAAGTGGCTGTAGCTGTATAAGCCATCATTACACTTTGCCCAAATCTCTCTCCAATTGGTACTGAAAGTTTGCAATCTTGCTTTCTTGGAGTTGTCCTTGAAACTCTTTCAATGTTCCAATTTTGAATTTCAGTTTAAAAGTCTTTTAGTAATTAAATGAAGTAAATACTATCTTTAATTAACAAAGGGATATCTAAATATGTTCATTGTGCAAACCTTTATGATATATTTGAAAACTGAAATCAGCCGCGCCAAAGGGATGTGCTGTTTTCGTTCAAATCAAAGCGTAAATACACATAGAAAACGTATCCTTGTGTCCTAGCTGACACAGAAGAGTGTACGCTGCTTGCGTTCAGTGGATATTCTCCAAAATGGTGCTACGGTGATGCGAAGAGAGGAGACAAATAGTTGAATAAAGTAATTATTTTTGTTTTCTTCACGTACAAAAAGTATTCTCGTCGCTTCATAAAATTCAGATTGAACCACTGATGGCAGATGGACTATTCTGACGATGCTTTTCATATTTTCTGGACCTTGACAGTGTAATTTACTTGGCAGTCAATGTGACAGTCACAAGCCTCCCGGTTTTCATTCAAAATATCTTAAATTGAGTTCTGAAGACAAACGAAGCATTTAAGGGTTTGGAACGACATGGGGGTAAGTGATTAATGACAAAATTTTCATTTTGGGAAAAATGAGTATCCCTTTAATTACTCACCCTCATGTCATTCCAAACCCGTAAGACCTTCGTTCATCTTTGGAACACAAATTAAGATGTTTTTGATGAAATCCGAGAGCTTTCTGACCCTCTATAGACAGCAAGGGTACTACCACGGTTAAGGCACAGAAATGTAGCAAGGACTTTGCTAAAATAACCGTAGCAAACCGTAATTTTATGAAGCTACGAGAATACTTTTTGAGCGCAAAGAAAACAAAAATAACAACTTTATTCAACAATTCTTCTCCTCCGCGTCACCTTAGCGGCATTACGGAGAGTATCGCGATGCATGTGTGTGGTGCTGCTGACGTAGATCACGCATGCGCTGCACCTTGTTTAGAGGAAAGCATGCCCATGTGTCGTGGTACTCTCCTTAATGGCGGAAGACGGTAACTCGCGGGAGAAGAATTGTTGAATAAAGTTGGTATTTTTGTTTTTTTGTGCACAAAAAGTATTCTCGTAGCTTCGTAAAATTACAGTTGAACCAGTGTGTCACACGGACTATTTTAACGATGGCCTTACTAGGTTTCTGTGCTTTGACCATGGTAGTACCCTTGCTGTCTATGGAGGGTCAGAGAGCTCTCGGATTTTATCCAAAATATTTTAATTTGTGTTCTGAAGATGAACGAAGGTTCAGGTTTCATTTTTGGGTGAATTATCCCTTTAACTGTTTTAATGCATGTTTCTGTTCTTGCTGTGAGAGATTTGTTTTTTAGTTTATATTACCGCAAATAATTTTTTTGTCTTCATAATCTTCAATCAGAGTGTCTTCTGAAATATTTCTACTGTTTATGTCACCAAGGACGATGTGATATAGGCCTATATACTGGCCTAGTGTGAAAGGATTATTGTTAAGGCTCTTTTTCTGGAAAAACATTTTTCTGATTCTCCAGACATAGCCATGGTGGTGGGCTACCTGGTTATTAGCCGGCCGTTCCTGGACCTCACAAACCAGCGGCATGTGAACAGCACATACTCTGAACGACTGGAAGTGAGTATGCATGAACACGTTCAGAAATTCTGTTTAATAAGGCTGATTATTTTGCTTTATTTATTTTCAGAAAGCAGTGCATGATATTTTTTATTGTAGCAGTTAAAATTGTGTAAATCACTTTCACTATACACTGGCAATATGCTACTGTATGTAAATCCAGATAATATTTCACTTTTAATTACTGACCTTTTATCTCTTCAGATTTAATTGTCATGACTGGCTTTGTAAAATGGCTTTATTGGGTCAATAATGATTTCCTTAGATAAATGTTTGCACAGAAGATAGAAGTTCTTCTGTGTTTGTTTTACACTGCAGGACTACTACCAGAGTGGGCGGATGTTGATAAGTTTGGCGCAGGCCCTGGGAAGGATCGTCCTGGCAGGCAGAGAGATGACCAGACTGTCCTGGTGAGTGCTACATTCATTCTTTGCTTGTTTCTCTTGCCATCCATTATCTCTATCCTTATCAGTGCTCACCTGCTGTCTGTCTTTCATCTGCTTGAGTATGTGTGTTTATCTGGAGTCTGAATCCATTTATTAGGTTCACTGCACGGATCACAGAAATTCAGGAAGTCCTTAAGGAGCTGAATTCAGGCAGATATGAACGGACCATGGTAAGACAGAGAATCAAAGGTCTGGACTATTGTGTGAAATGTTTGTTTTGTTTTAAACATAAATTTGTGACATAAGAGATGTCTCTATGAGTTAATACTAATACAGTTTAAATGTTTGGGGTCGGTAAGTTTTTTATGTTTTTAAAAGGAGCCTCTTATGCCTACCAAGGCCAGCGGCAAGCACAGACCTCTGGAGGCTCCATTTATTTAATGAAATATACAGTAAAAACAGTAGTAATGTGAAAAAATATTGCAGTTTAAAATAACTTCGGTTATTACTTCAGTCTTCAGTGTCTCGTGATCCTTGAGAAATCATTCTAATATCTATTGTTTTTTATTTTCTATATTTATTCTTTTTTTTCCTCTTTCTTTTTCACAGATGATTCAGTAGAGAAAATCCCTCTTACCCCTGGGAGAGGTAAAATCATCATCGCAGACAACATTATCAAGTAAGCTACATACTACACACTAAATAAACAGCAACCAAGCCATCATAGTTAGCTTCTTAACATTTATGCATTCATTTAATCCTCAATTCCCAAGGTCTGTTTTTTTATTTTTCTAAACGTAGACATCATGTCTAACACAGTGTATCATTAGTGTTTCAAAATGAGCTGTATCCTTCTATCCCCAGGTTTGAACACATACCTTTAGCGACGCCCAATGGAGACATTCTCATTCGTGACTTGTGTTTTGAGGTTAGTGCCCCATAAATAAACTTTTCCTAGTCTAAACTTGTTTTTAGCTTGTAAGACAGGGTTAAGTAATCTAGTTTTAGTAATTACTACCTTCCCTTCTTACATAAAGGTGTCTTCTGGGACAAACGTGTTGGTCTGTGGGCCCAACGGCTGTGGAAAGAGTTCACTCTTCACAGAGTGCTGGGAGAGGTTAGAGCTGTTCTTCAGCAGAAATATGTGGTTTTAGAAACCTCAGTGTTTTTTTTTTTTTATTGTTTGCTGACATTGTCTCTTTGCTTTCCCAGCTGTGGCCTCTATGTGGAGGACAACTCACAAAACCAGAGAGAGGGAAACTCTTCTATGTTCCTCTGGTGGGCCTGTTCACACTGAGGTCTTTCGTGGCAGCCGGTTACTTTTCTCTTCCCTTTTAAAGGTTCATTTGTTTGTATTTTCTTCAGAGGCCCTATATGACACTGGGTTCCCTCCCTGAGATCAGGTGATTTATCCTGACAACACATGAAGACCAAAAGAAGAAAAGAACGTCTGATCGGGTGAGTTTTATAATGAAATGGACATCAAAATATGTTATGTTATAAAGGGATAGTTCACTCCAAAATGAAAATTCTGTCATTCTTTACCCATAAGGCCTATGTTCATCCAAACACAAATGAATATATCTTTAAGAAAACCAAAGGGATTTTCTTCACTGAAAGTCTATTCCACAAAAACTTCACTTAATGTTTCAGAAAGTTCATAAAGAGATTACAAAAGAAATAAATATAAATGGAACAGTTTAATCCAAGTCTTTTGAAGAGACATGATCGCTTTATATGATGAACAGATTTAATTTAGGCTTTTATTTACCTATTGATCAACAATCCACATACATATACAGTAGAAAAAATGATGTTCAACCATGCTTGCTTGACACAAAAGAATGATGTTTGTTTACCCGTGTCACACAAGTAACGCTGAACTTCAGTTCAATCATGACAACTCTTGGAACATTTTAGGATGGTGATGGATCTGACAATGTTAATGTATTTGGTCTTGGCGGAACAGATCTGCTACGCTGCTGCTGAATTGCTGCTGCTGTTGGTTATTGCGGTAGTTGTAGATTATTGCTGCTGCTGCAAGCAAGTACAGAAACTTGCTACTGCCAATGCATATGGCGATACGGTGCCATGAGTATTTAAGACATACTGCTGCTGCACAAATAGCATATAAAATGACCCATAGCAGATCTATACAGGTGGAGCTGGGGAAGGTGGAGGGTTTCAGAGAACTCTGAAAGCGCGCTGCAGGAATCTCAAGTGAATGCTAGCCAGCCATATAAATTCAAGGCAGTAAGCTCATTGGCTGCATATGCAGTATGAACCAATCAGCTTGTGCCAAGTCGTTTAACTCTCTGAATATCATTAGTTATGTTAACACCCTGTCAGAATGCGCCATCTAGAGTTTCATGACTGAACTATATATTTGACCATATTTGATGAGCTTTAAGAATGTGCAAATATTACATTTTTATTTGTGAATAAAAGCCTAAATTAAATCTGTTCAAAATATAAAGCGATCATGTTTATTCAGAGGACTTAAAACTGCTTAATTCATATAGATTACTTTTATAATCTCTTTATGAACTTTTTGTAGTGTCAAAGTTTTGATTACCCGGGCTTTCAGTGGAATGACAGAAATTTGTCAGGGTTGGAAAAACTGCCTTTAAAACTATAATATACCAAAAAAATTAAGATTCTGTCCTTATTTTTTTTATATATATATACATGTTGCTTGAAGGGGAAGAAGGGAAAAAGTGTAAAATTTGTCCAATATGTGCTATACTCTAAGTCTGGAATGCTATCATACGCAAACTATTTTTATGATTCTCTTTTTTTCCTCTTTGGAGACTTACGGTCTATCTTCATTGTACTGAAAAGAACAACAAAGCTAAATATATGGACAGAAGAAATTTATTTTTTTGAATGACATGAAAAAAATGTATAAATATTGAGAACATTTTTGGGTGAACTGTCCCTTTAAGAAATGTGCTTACAGTGTTACTATTATTATATTGTGTACTTGTGGTCAGGTGCTGAAGGAATATCTGGACAATGTCCAGCTGGGACATATCCTGGAGAGAGAGGGCAGCTGAGACAGTGTGCATGACTGGATGGATGTCCTCAGTGGAGGAGAGAAAAAGAGGATGGCTGTAAGCTCTGATCTTTGCATTTTTTAATCATTCTCTATTTAGGATAAGACCGATATTAATGTGGCCTGTATTATATCAGAAAGTCCACGTTTTCTTTATTGAATTGCACAGATGGCTCGTTTGTTTTACCACAAGCCCCAGTTTGCTATTCTGGATGAGTGCACCAGCGCTGTGAGTGTGGATGTGGAGGACTTCATCTACAGCCACTGTCGAAAGTTAGTCAGATGTCGTCGTCTTATACACAATAAATGCAAAAATGTTAGTGTGAAAGGCAAATGCTTATAACATATGGCTAGAGAAGTTACAACAGGTGCTCACCCCACCATGCTCGTTTTCTGTCAAAAGTGAGAAGTCAGGAATATATTTGTTGCTCCTGTGGGAGTTTGCTTTCGAAACATCTGTCTCCCTGAGCTCATCTGTTCCCTCTTTTCAGGCTGGCATCACACTGTTCACAGTCTCCCACAGGAAATCACTATGGAAGCACCATGAGGTACAACTTAGCCCTTGTCTTTCTTCATAGTTTGCAGAATTCATTAGAAAACCTCAAGTTATGCGCTATGAATTTTTAAAACTCTTTGTATCTCTATACTGCAGTATTACTTGCAAATGGATGGAAGAGGAAACTATGAGTTTAAACCCATCATGAAGGAAACGGTGGAGTTTGGATCATAATAATGACACTGGGCCTTATTCATGAGCCAATCTTTGCGTAAATCATTCGTAATGTTATTCTTAAATTGTTGCTTATGAAAATTTGTGCAAGAATGATTTTACACAGAAATTCACACTCATGAATGAGGCCTATCTGTACTAAATGTGGATCTGAATTGAATTAAAAACTCTATATTATAAGATGTTGTTGAAATATAACGTCTTTTCTTCATCTGAGGTAAAAGGATTGTAACTCTGTGGATAAATATCTCTCAGGGAGAGGTTACTGCGCATTATCTGAAAATATTTTTGTAAGGAATAAAATTGGGTTTCTTATCCCTTTTAAGAATCAAGCATTTGTAATATAAAAAAATCATGTTTTTTGTTGTGATACTTGATTTGTGTTTTGAAACTGGAACATTCACTGGCATATGTTGTTGTCAATAACATACTGTTGCATGCCACTGGTACAATAATTATAATACTATGGAAACGTTTCAGGTTACTTATGTAACCATGGTTCCCTGAGTAGGGAACGAGACACTGCGTCCTCTAGGGGTCGCTATGGGGAACGCCTCGTCGTGACCCGTGTCTGAAGCATACATTGAAAAAACACCAACAACACGTTGACCGGCGACAGCCATGACGTCACTACCGGTGCGACTATAGTATAAATAGGCGCCGGGAGAACACATCATCCACTTCTTCGTCTGAAGCTTGCGTCCGCAGCATGGCAAGA